ATCGAACAGTTTATGCACCTTTGAAATTCACCCTGCGTAACCGAATACTTTTCTTTGTAGGAGTTATCTCCCCGAACACTGTTTTCCTTGTGACTGCATCTCCTCCGTAACCGTATAAGAAAGCGACAAATTTATTTTATAAAATTGCTCGTTATATCCTTCGCATGATTTGTTCAATTTTGACCGAAGCAATACGAACACTCCATATGAGAGTTATTTCCCCTTATGCATTTGATATAAGTGATATGCATTTCTATCTTGTAAACCATAAGTGATAGAGACCTAGGATCTTTTTATTTGTGGTCCTTGGTCCAAAAAAAAAAGAAAATAAGGTCAAGGTCAGAGGTCAAGGTCATATTTTAAATTTTGATTTTGGCTTATTTTCAATTCTTTTCAAAAACCGTATAAGATATTGACAACATATTATTACTAAATTGTAAGTTGCGACATGTCGTAACACATAAATTTTGGTTGAAAGGGTACACTAACATTAAATTGGAGTTTTCTCCCCTCTTATATTAAAAATTAGGCATATAGTGATATACCTCATTAACCATGTATAATTAAGACCTATGGTCTTTTGATTTGAAGCCCTTGGTTTATGACCTTGAAATTGAGCTCAAAGTCATTGGTAAATTTGACGTTCTAGATATTGACCTTTGCTTTTACCTCATTTGTATACATGATAAAGCCATGGGACTTTTTGCATTACGTTGCAAGCCACTTGACTATGGAAAAGCCAACCGGAAGTGACCTTGTGTAAACCGGAAGTAGCTATTTTTTGTACTTATTTAATATAAAAGTATATTAAACCATATATTTTTGGAATCATTATCAAGTAATCTATCAAATAAAACCGGAAGTGACATCTTTCAAACCGGAAGTTACAATTTATCTCCCTTATTTAGAAAAAATTGTATAGAAACCAAGTATTTTTGGAATCAGTGTACAATAAGCTATCATTTGACGCTGGATATGATATTTTAATAGATCTATATCAAAATTGATTTTTATGGGTGGAAAGACCTTCAATTGTTCTATGAACAATTGGTTTTTGATTATTTTTTTTTTCTTCTTCCGCCACTTATATTTCTTGCGTATAAATTTTGTTTCGCAAGATGTCGCTTAGATGTTTGGTATATGATATCGAACAGTTTATGCGCCTTTTAAATTCACCCTGCGTAACCGAATACTTTTCTTTGTAGGAGTTATCTCCACGAAAACTGTTTTCCTTGTGACTGCATCTTCTCCGTAACTGTATAAGAAAGCGACAAATTTATTTTATAAAATTGCTCTTTATATCCTTCGGATGATTTGTCCAATTTTGACCGAAGCAATACGAACACTCCATATGAGAGTTATTTCCCCTTATGCATTTGATATAAGTGTTATGCATTTTTCTCTTGTAAACCATAAGTGATAGAGACCAAGGATCTTTTGATTTGAGGTCCTTGGTCCAAAAAAAAGAAAATAAGTTCAAGTACAGAGGTCAAGGTCATATTTTAAATTTTGATTTTGGCTTATTTTCAATTTTTTTCAAAAACCGTATAAGATATCGACAACATATTTTTACTAAATTGTTATTTGCGACATGTCGTAACACATACATTTTGGTTGAAAGGGTACGCTTACATTAAATTGGAGTTTTCTCCCCTCTTATATTAAAAATTAGGCATATAGTGATATAACTCATTAACCATATATAATTAAGACCTATGGTCTTTTGATTTGAAGCCTTTGGTTTATGACCTTGAAATTGAGCTCAAGGTCATAGGTAAATTTGACGTTCTAGATATTGACCTTTGCTTTTACCTCATATGTATACATGATAAAGCCATGGGACTTTTTGCATTACGTCTCAAGCCACTTGACCATAGAAAAGCTAACCGGAAGTGACCATGTGTAAACCGGAAGTAGCTAGTTTTTTGTACTTATTTAATGTAAAAGTATACTAAACCATATATTTTTTGAATCAGTATCAAGTAAACTATAAAAAATACCGGGAAGTGACATTTTTCAAACCTGAAGTAACAATTTTTCTCCCTTATTTAGAAAAAAAATGCATAGTAACCATATAGTTTTGGAATCAGTGTACAATAAGGTATCATTTGACGCTGGACATGATATTTTAAACCGAATTTTAATAGCTCTATATCAAAATAGATCTTTATGGATGGAAAGACCTTCAATTGTTCTCTGAACAATTGGTTTTTAATTATTATTATTAGTATTATTATTATTATTATTCAAGATTAAAAGAGATTTATATGACTATTGATTAATGGAATTGGTTTAAGAATACAATCAATTCATGAACTCTGTTTGGTAATAAACCATTTTATTAAATGAACCAAATTTAGGCCGCACACTTTACTAAATAAACCCAATTAAGAAATATAGGCTTTCAGGTTCACTGCTTGGTAGGTTAGATAACACATGTTTTCATAGTAGTCACTATAGTCGGATATGGCCAAATTCGTTTATTCGCGCTGTCACCTTTATATTTTCAAAGGCGAAAACGAAAATGCAAAAACGCGATAGCACAAAATTGCCAAAGCGAAAACACGCATACGAATATGCGAAAAATCATAAAATCACGTATCTAAGAACGCAAAAACTCAAAATCAAATTCAATTCGGGATTGCGAGTTTTTGCTTTCGAGATTTGGAGTTCTCGATTTCGCGTTTTCGCGAAAAACACGAATTCGCCTTTTTAATACAGTGCCCACTACTGTCAATCATATCGTATCTTCGATTTCATTGGATAACGATTACCAATTTGGAGAATACCGGACTGCATGATATTATTTTCAAGTGCTATTAAAACAAATACCTCTTCTGTTTACTCATAAGCGCAACAGTATTATGCCATCGAAGGTTTATGCCGTCGCGAATTGGGGACATTTCGTGAGAGTTATTCTCCATTGATCAGACCGTTTTTAGAGGTCCGTTTCGTTTATGGCTTGCTATGCGATATGGGTTTTGCTCATCGTTGAATGCCAAACGGTGATCTATAGTTGTAATCTTATATGTCATTTGGTCTCTGGTTGAGAGTTGTCTCATTTGTTATCGTACCACATGTTCTTATTCTTGTATAACAATGTATAACATACAAATTATGCGTAAAAAGAGATTCATATCGTTGATACAAAAATAAGTTCTGAAATTATAGAGTCTATAGAAAACAACTATATAACAAAATTGATAAGTATCGGATCGTTTAAAATCTACACTTTAGCACTAACCGGAAAATCATAATAGTTTTAAAATTTGTCAAGATAAAACAGATAAAAAAAATTGAAAAATACAAGCAAGAGGAAATGAAATAGTCTTGACAAATATTTTGGCACAACAAAGTTATTGGCCTAAGCCAGTTGCAGTCCTTTTTGAAATGTGATAAAACAATGTGCGTTCTTTTCTTTAAGGGGGATTAGCCAGTATTAGGATGTCATAATACACATCCACGTCTACATCTACTAAATGATGTAGTAAAGGAGCTATATTAACACATTAAGGACTCTTACTGTGTAATAACAAAACTCGATTTTAGTTTACCGCAGGGATCGGTCTTAGGGCCGAAACTGTATTTTTTTCGCAAAACCAGTAGGTGAAATTTGCAGGCGCTACGGAATGTCATACCATTCGTACGCAGATGATACTCAGGTTTATCAAATTACAAGACCGCAAGGAGACTGGTCCGATCTGTCCAAACGCCTAGAACGTTGTTTGTCTGATATTGGTGATTGGATGAGTGCCAATATGCTGAAACTTAATGAAGACAAAACAGAATTAATTATCTTTGCACCCAAACATCAATTGAAGCATTTTTCCGATTTCCGTCTGACATTAATTTTTTGATGTAACTGTGTTAAGCGACGTTTCTTGTGTGAAAAATCTGGGAATGTACTCCGATAAAACCATCAGTATGGAACATCAAGCTAGTGCGATCACTAAGGCTTGTTTTTACCAGATTCGGAATATTGGTCGAATTCTATCTTTAATTTCGGTTGAATCCTCTAGAACACTAGTGTGCTCTCTAGTTACATCAAGGCTAGACTATGGCAACGCATTGTTGTACGGTACTAACACCAACATTATCAGTAAGCTACAGCGTGTCCAAAACACAGCAGCACGTTTGATTACCCCAAAAAGGAAATTTGACTCAATTACGACTGTTCTTATATCGTTATACACTGGCTACCCATTCATTACCGCTGCCAATATAAACGTCTGTTATATGTGTACACAGCACAGCATGGCAAGGTTCCTAGCTATTTTCAAGATCTAATTACGCCAAACAAACCCAACAGATCACTCAGGTCGGAAAACAGTATGCTCTTAAATCCTCCGAATGACGTCCGAACGAAAAGCTACGGCGAGAGGCGTTTTGACAAGTCCGCGCCTACACTCTGGAACAGTTAACCATTGTCCTTGCGGAGTGTGAATTCTTTAAACGTTTTTAAAAAGCAACTCAAGACTCACTTCTTTCGAACTGCTTTTAAGGATTTCTTGTAGATTGTATATACTTTTAATTGACTGCATTAATTTTAGACTGTTTTGTATATTTTAGAGTACATGCATTGTTTATTTATTATTTTTATTTTTTTTATTTTTGTTTTATCTGCTTGTTTAAATCGTATTAATTGGTGCTTCGTATTTCATGTTTTATGTATATTTGTATTTTATCTATTTCTAAAAGAGGGACGAAAGATACCAGAGGGACAGTCAAACTCATAGATCGAAAACAAACTGACAACGCCATGGCCAAAAATAAAAAGACAAACAGACAAATAATAGTACAGATGACACAACATAGAAAACTAAAGACTAAGCAACACGAACCCCACCAAAAACTGGGGGTGATCTCAGGTGCTCCGGAAGGGTAAGCAGATTCTAAATGTGAAGCGCTTTGAGTAATTGTTGTTATTATATAATGCGCTCTATAAATATTGTATTTATTATATTTATATAACATTTTGATGGCCATTTGTTGTATCAAAGTATTTGTCAATACGATTTTATTATATTTCATTTTTTTCGTATATTTTAATCTTTCAATTGTATCGTTGCACAAGATCAAAACGGTATATATATTCAAATATAACATAATGACCTGAAAATGTGTTTTCTCGTTAGTCGCCACATATTTTGCGGGAAAACGACTTGCCATTTTCTGATAAATTCAACGACGTCTTTAAGCTGCAAGGCAAAGAAAGCCAAATATTCTCACAGAAATCTAAAAATATCTTCTCTTTCATTTGAAGTGTCAAAAATGTTGATTTTGTTTCTTATTTGATTTGTCAATTTTGCACAATGGAATATTTTTTAGATTTTTAGTTACAAATGTATGTAATATGATTACTTATTACAATAGATCGTAAACAAAACTTGTGACAACGGGACAAGGAAATTCATTCATGAATTTATAGTTATCTCCCCTGAAACGGAATTGAATCTCCTTAAACCAGAAACAATCAGAAAAGTATGAGTTGAAAACAGCGATAGTCATTGATAGGCTCTCAAATTAGTTATGCATGCAATTAATTACATTTTGCTGCTTGAAAGTTAACAATATTACAAGAGTACAGTTATGATCCGACATAATTAATAATAGAAAAATATACTTCAAAACATTTCAATTATAATGACAGGAACAAATGCATATTCTTCACCAGTCAATGTACGAAACGCAGTTACATAGAATCTAATTAAGAACTGAAACTAACTGCTTACAAATTTTTGTATTTCCAATATTTTTTCCTCAGTTGCATACTATAAGTTTTTGTTTGAAGTAAATCCCAGTCCCTCATCAAAATGTGCGTGTTTTCGTAACCAGGAGAGGATACTCCATTCCGAATAAAACTCGTAAGATTTTGTTTATAGGCAAAAAAAGCCGCATGATGTTTAAGGCTAATATTAATTGAGTGTGCTACCATACCAATATATGCATCTTCTATTGGAATAACCTTCATATACTCAACTGCAACTGCTAACATTCCAACGGTTTTTTTATTTGTTAAGATAGTTCCTCCAATTATATATGGCGGATACAAATCAAATGGATAGTCGTCTGGTGAAACATAAGTTTTCGAACTTTTATCTCTAATTGTTTTCGATTGATTAAGCAAATATCCAACCACAATCAAGTCTGCTGAGTTTATATTTCGTCTTGCAATATCATAAATATTCAGTGGATTAAGAAATCGATCGTCATCAACAAAATGAATGAATGTTGATGTTATGTTTATTTGTGATAGCCATATCAAAGCATAAATTGTTTTATAAACAACATTGTGATACTGATCATTAATGTTTAACTGAACAATATCTTTGTACTTTTCTGATTCAAAATCAACAAAATAGTCGATGCCGTCTAGATATCCAATAATAAAAACAGTTTTTGATCGCAGTTTTGTCATGCCTCCCCACGTCCTACGTATAGCTTCGCGCTGGCCAAAGTTTAAAACGTAGGATTTCACAACAAATAACACTTGCAAAGAATCACATTTGTAATTTCCACACAATAACTCTGAAGGATTTATCAAGAATATTTCTCTCTCTTTGAAATTATTTACTGGTTCCTTATTCAATATTTTCCTATGATTTGTATCGAACACCAATTTTTCCACGCTAAGAATCGATAACTTTTTAATATGTTTATGGTTTTTTTCATGTTTCTTTTGGAAGAACAGATAAACATAGCATATCCATAATAAACAGAAAATGAACATTTGAAACCTGAAAAAAAAAGCGATTGCTTGGAATAACAGGATAATCCTAATGCTGCTGCTCAGTTAAAATAATACACCTTTCTATAAAAAAAATACATTCATTAGTAAATATTTTTCAATCACTTCTTACGTATATGCCCAACCTTACATACGGTTGTGGTACATGTATTTGCCATACAAATGCTTCTTATCTGTACATTCTCTTATGAACGGTTGAACATGACCTTTTCTATAATTTATTATAAAACGCTTAAAGAAGTATATCTTAATGAATTGATATAATAAATCGAACATAATGAGGTCAATCATAAAAAAGATTTAAAATCTGTTTTCTTTGGGTTCAATTATAGAAGCTTATTTATAAAACATAAATGTATACTTTAAGATAAATGTAATCCTTTCAGTAATGTTGATAGTGTATCTACTATGCATAACCTTACACATATCTGAACCTTAATTTTCTTTGATAAATTGATAGTCAATCTTATGTTTCATACATTGAATACAAATACAATAATGCATGTACACATTGTCAGATGGATACACTGTTTCGTGTTACATCTTAGTTGTTTTACTATCTACCAGTATGTTTTAATAAAGAGAAAAGGCAAGCTAAAATGTTTTCCTAAATCTGATCAACATTGACTGTTAATTAATGAATGGGAGTTAAAGTATATAGACAAATATCTGATAAAACATGCGTTGAGTAAAATACTATTTAAGGGCATACGATACAGTAGAGATCCCTCGTTGATTTTTTCTTGAAATTTTGGTAAAAGGTCAATTTTGATGTGTACTTTTGAAATATGCAAAGAAAAATATACCTTCATGACTTACTTTTTGAGATAATTTGGTTCGAAATTTACATATTTGAAGGAAAAACCCTGAAATTTCATAAATAAGGACTTTTAAGGAAAGTACCAATACTTTTGAACGAACAGTCATAATTTAACCGGGTTTTTTGTAAAATGTTCCCTTGATCCATGGCATCAGCATGTTGTAACAAGTTAACGGTTGAAATAAGTAATTATATTCTCAATTCTTTTAATACAAGTGAAATAAAGAAGTTGAAAATATTTTTGCGTCTACACAGAAGTGCAGAAAAAATTCTATCGTTGATTTTTTCTTAAAATTTTGGCGGATCGTTCTTGAAACAGAACTTGATCGACTGCAAAAGAAAAAACTGGGGGTCCATGTGCTTGTTTTTTCAATAAAAGCAATAACCCTAATTTTTATTGGAAAACGGGACGTTTGCCAATAAGGCGCCAAACTACGTTGGAATAAGTTTTATTCGCAACAACGTCGTGAAATCTTTCCCGCCGTTCACTATACTACGTTGTCAATTTCAGTGGTAGAGCCAAGGTGTTTTTTTTTTAAACCAATGATATTAATCATGAAAATTAATAAAGCTGGCTCCTCGTAAAATAGCATCATATTTGCCAAACCTTTATGAATTGTTACGAATCTTGGATAGAAAATGTATTCTAGTAAATTACTTTTAGAAAAGAAATGTTCGGAAACAAAACAGATATATAATAAAAAAATTAATTTGCATCTCTGTCCGACATTAGTCATACAATTCATGTAGACAACACAGCTTGAACATAGTTTTAATTATTAATAGGCCCCGACATGACAAAATGTGCAACAATTATAAAGTAAGGGGGATGATATAAAAAGGTATGATTGCAAAAGAGACAACTGTCAACCATAGTTCAAATGACGAAGATAAACGCTATTAAAGGTCACCCTACGGCCTTCAACACAAAAAAAAATAAGAAAAAGAAAAAGCCACACCGTATAGTCAAGCTTTAAAAATCCCCAACATGAAAATGTGAAATAATTCAAACAAGAAAACTAACGACCTACTCTACATAACATGAACACAAAATCATACCCACATTAAATCGGGTCAGCTTAGTCAATTACAGTGTAGTATATCATTTCATACAGCAGTCGATATTAGAGCATGAAATTTAATGATTCTGTATCAATAGATAAGTTACCTAAGCTTGTCTTCAGAGTATTTTTTTTTATTTCGGTACATATAATCATTGAATTACTTGTCTGTATTATACCTTCAATCTAGGAGTGAGTGCAACCACATTGTTTGTCCGGTCCAACAAATATTTTGTTTCTTATCTGAGAAACTACTTTACAAAAAGACTTCGTATTTGGTCAGTAACTTAACATCAATGAGTTGCAACTCTGGTCTGTCAAATACCTAATTCCTGTGTGCCGATTTTTCTCTCTAAATATGTAAATAGGGGATATGCTTAGCACATCAACGGGTGCGTTTGTGTTTTTGGTCTATAATACGGGGCTTATAACTGAGTAATTTTAACTGACAATTCTTCTTCGTACACTTATATATTCCACGGGTTAAATTCTAAAAATGCCGTTAAACTCTTTAATGTACCTTTTTAAAGTCAGGAACAATAAGATGCGCTGTCATTATTTATTACGTTTTTTTGTCATTTTGTTGATAGTCTCTGTTAATTTATCCGTACAATTCTCATTACGATTTAGAGTTATCCAAATGGTGAAGTTACTATATTAATTACTTATGTTTTTTTTGTGTAGTTGGGTTTCTCTCTCATCGACGTCTTATGTTTTTCATATCTCTTATTCATTTCCCATATGAAATAACAGACATACAAATTTAAGCATGTGGATTTGATTTTTTTCCCATTCGAAGTTAATATTGTTGTATTAATGAATAAATATAACAATTCTCGTGAATTGGCCGATTTTCATTGCAGGTATTTTTTTCAAATTCGCGCAATCGGGATTATGACGTCAGTGGATTTCCGCAAATATGACTACATCTAAAGCGACGTCGCGAAATGTAATCGTTCTTATTAGAAACATCGCGAAATTACAACGTTCTGATTAACAACGTCGCGAAAACAACACGAAAAGTTTTGAAAACGTTATTATCTGCCCCTGCTACTGTATCGTATGCCCTTAAATGTAATATGGGTAAAATCATGGATAATTTACGGGCACTTTGAACGATTTGTTTATTTTTTTAGCTTACAAAACTACGGTTCACTGGACAAATTATCCCCCTACATGTAAATATACGTATTATTCCGACAACGTGTTGGCCATACTATACAAAACTGAAATAACACTTTAGAAAAGTGGTGTATAAGAACCGCTTTTTACCAGAGTTACCTTCATCTGGAACTTAACTAAGTTTCTCATTATTAGTATAGACCCAGTGCTCAAATATGTCGATATGTAAAGATCATAAATCTTTGAAAGCCAAGTAGGAAAAAATATAGAAGAAGCTAAATGACAAAAAGGGACATACAAACAATACCCATATTCTACTAAGGTGAAATTAGACTAAGGGAGATGAAGCGGTATCGACAAACTGCTATAAACTGAAAATAGCACCTTCTAATTTTGGTGCGCCCGAGGTGCATTTCTATATTTACCTTCAGTAAGAACGCAAAATCCATTAACATGGTTTTATATTTTGCACTCTTAATGAAGTAGCAAGAACAGTATAGTTTTGTCATATGAAGAGATCGGGGATTATATATCAATGATCACATTTAAAAACAGAGTGCCGGGCAATATAAAAGAAGTAAAAACTGCTACCGTCAAATTATGCCGATCAGGAATGCTTTCTGTATTTGAAATAAGATAACAATATCAGTACTGTGTTATTTTTAAGTAGATGCATGCATCATAACTTTTATACATATTGGTCATACACAGATAAATGATCATTTTTATCTTAACATCATCGGAAAAGTCTGACCAATAAATAATTCAGTCCCGTTCAGTCCTTCTGTAAACATTACGCGCTGCCCTAAGCCAAAATATTTTGAATACTAAGTGTTTAATTGTAAATCATGTTTAATTTCAATACTTAAACGACCTTAAGTCCTAAGTATGCAATCGACGAATAACTGGTGTCTTTAATTGTAACTCTACAGTTGAATTTATGGTTATCAAGGGTTTATATACATTCGGTCAATGTTGTTTCGGTTAATTCGTCTATACCAGTGTCCAATGTGTAAAATTACAAATGCCATTGTTCAATAAGTTAACGGTCAACACGCGGAGGCATAGTATACATTATTAGTTTTTATTTGCAAATAACAATATTTACTTTGGATTGATTACTGCCCGAAACAATTGATTTTGTGTGAGTATTTATGTCAGAAACATATAATATAAGTTACAAATCTGCAGTTTATTCTTTGTCCAAACTCAGCATCAGCCACTCTTATTAATCAAATTATGGCGATACATTAGGTTTATAACCATAGTTGTTAAATGTTGGCCAGTGGTAGTTTTTGTAATTTTTTGTTAATTTCTTATGATGAAGGATGCACGTGTTCAAATCAAACGTATATACCAGGTTGTCACTTCTATAATTCTTAAGAAAAGTATGGTATCAAAAGTGGTGCAATATGAAATTTACCCACCATCCACCCTGTCACCGCAGAACGTTAAATCTTTGTCGACACATTTTATTATCAAAGTAAAGATCATTTCTATAAGCAAGTTAATCAAAAAGAAGAAACATCCAGTTTATCTACATAAAATTGTTTAGAAAAAAAAAACGTCAATTAATGTTTTTTTAAGAATGAGAAGATTTTGATAATAACTAGCAGATCATCCATTATTGTCCACAGTTTGCTGGTTAACTTTATTATAACTATCGAATATATCTAACGTTTTATTTTTGGAATTAACATTATTTCTCAGACAAACTTGAATACTGCACTTATAACTCATTCTGGAGTGATTGGAATGAAAATGAACTTTACAAAGTATCTTTATTAGCAACGCAGGAGAAACGTATTGTACTTTTGCAGTGTAATGTGGCTTAAGCTCTGGAGAGAGGTGAAAGATACCAAAGAGATACCATTCAAACTCATAAGTCGAAATGAAACTGACAACGCAAGGAAATGAAATATAACAAAATTAAAGTCATGGCAAACTAAATAGAAATCTCTGACAACAGACAGCATTAAATTTTATGTTAGCAAATATGTGAAGTTGAAAACAAAAGAATTTAGAACAAGCCAGGATGTTTTCAAAGCTTATAGATTAGAAATAGAATCCGGACACAACATTATAAAAATGTGCAGTTGTAAAAATCTATTGAAAACACTAAACATAAACCTTGATATTGTAAGACAGCTCATTCTTTTTAATTATATTGTGCTAAAACCCAACTCGATTAGTATAAAAAAAGGGAAAATTGCTAAGATGTAAAGAGAACTCACCAGTCGAAATAAAATTGGTAACGCCATGACATGTACAAAAAACGATAATCAAGGAAAAGACAACAAAAACACTTCACAAAACACTACATAGAAAAGTACAGACTGAGAAACACGAAACGGACCGAAAACTGAAGGCTATCATGTGCTACGGAAGGGTAAGCATATCATGCTCCATTAGTCTCCTCGTCATATTGCGCATAGTAAGTTCTAATTCGATGACATAAATTTCGGAAGAGGCAACTACAGTTGATGATTATACTTTATATAATGACATATTTAAAGCGAAAAAAGAAAAAAAATCAAAAGAAATCCCCTATCCAAATTATCTAAGTCACTTTCCCTTTGCAACAGTATTAAAACATTGACTTCTCTATCTTTTACGCAAGTAATTCCCATTCCAACCTAAAAGACATTTTGAAAGAATTGGTCCTGCTTTGTTTCGTAAAAAAGAATGTAAATACAGATATTGTATCTAAGGAACGGATAAATCATATTTTGGAAGAAATCACTCTCAAGATTCTTGATTCCCTGTTTGACAAAATACTTGTTACGTTTGGAGAACATGTTTTTCAACAAAAAATCGGCATTCTCATGGGAACAAACTTTTGTTCTTGACGACTTGTTTCTTTATTCATATGAGACTGCCTTCGTACATGAGCTTCTTATGATGAATGAACAGAATCTAGTATTATCCCTTAACTTCACATTCCGCTATAGACAATGTCCTCTCACTTAGTGATTCAAAGTTTAGTGACTATGTTGAAAGCATCTATCCCATCGAACTTGAAATAAAGGATAAAATATATACAGGTAAATCTGCCTATTATCTGGACTTATATCTAGAAATTGGCATTGAGGTGCGGTTGAGAACAAAACTTGGGGTTGTGTTGCTTTTGCTTTAGTTTTTAACGTTCATGTTTTGTATAATTGTAATATTATTCACATTTTGTTATATTCATGGGTTTGCTTTTTTTCTACTTTATAATTAAGAAGTAACAGTAGTATTCCCGGAAGGTTTGATAAGAATGAACGAAATGAACATATATAACAGGATATATTCTTTGATGCAAAACGTTACCGTTACAAATCGATTGACGTATACTATTATGTCTTTATAGTTAAAGCAAATATACGTCCATTTTATATATTGAGTTAATGAACCAACTACCAGGGTAAAATCAGGGTTCATTACCGAATTAATTTTTTTGAGTTGTTTCAAACAACATTTTCATTTCGTCTTACGTACCTCTATCTTTAAAAAGTAACAAATTAATTCAATGCGTAGCTTTTTTCAACACATCAGGTTTTATCATATATGTGTCTGAATTTGCTCAAAATCATTTCAGAACATTAATAGTGTGTTTTACTACATAATCCAAGAAGATTTGTAAACCATTTGACTGATTTAAACTAATATTAAATTGCATAATATGAACCAATTTCATTCGTGACTTTGACGAACCAATTTCTACTGTCCAACCAATTGCAATCAGTAGCAGCCGTCAACTTGTAACTTAGATTGTCGGATCGTCCCGATGGCGAAAACTGAAGCGATTGATGCATGCTTGGTGATAAATTGTTGTAATATGAACGTTGGATTATACTATTTGTTTTTGATACCACGATTATCTTCACCAATTTCGTCAAGTGCCAGATATATGGCGGTTCTAAAATAAAATGGTCTACATTTTCAGAAAGCTTTATTCACTACTCTTTGTCATAAAAAAAATTAATTAGAAAAGCATAAGATTTGCTTTCACTAAATATGATATGAATAAATTTGATATAAAATAAGACTGATCGTGGCTTAATGAAAACATTGTGACAACACCAAGGGCTATCAAAACCCGTAACAAAGAAAGACAGGGTTAAAAGAATAATGGAAAAAAATACACAGAAAATAACAGATTTAGCAAAACAAACCAATAGAAGGATGGAATTAAGTGATCAGTTTGATGAGGCAGTTCATTCTGGAAGACTTCAAGTATACCATGAATCAACTTTTAGTTTATATAATTTCTTTCAAGAAGAGGAGTTGGTTCCCATAAAAAACAGTTACAAATCTAAACAGATATGATGTCAATCATGTGAAGATTCCAACATGGGATCTATCAGAATCAAAGAAGAATGTTTTGTAAATAATGTGCGGCACGCGCATTATGGTGAAAAGAATGTATTGCCAAAAATATCTAAACCCAATTTGCAAAAGAATAAGAAGAATAAGAAAAAGAATATAGATCTTCTAAAAAGTATATACTCACAATTGTGCATTCTGCAATCTCGTCATAATGATTGAATCTTCTCTTAACTATACTAAAAAAAATTACAATCTCTTGAATATAAAATTAATATATATTTGTTGGAAAGTGCTCATTATATTATACATAATACTTAATCTGTGATTTCACCTCATAAAGGGTTTAGAATTTTTAATGTAGCTACTTATACCGATGAATTTAAGATCATGACTATTCCCATTAGACTAATGTTTAGCTGCATATTCTGAACTAAATACGAATACAATAAAGATAAACTAATACAACTATTTATCAGTTCTCCAAAGAAAAATCAACTATTACGTTCCAATGCTATTAATTCGCATTTTATTATCATAGTATAACCACTTTATTTTATTAGCACATACTTACAACTTCTCGTCCAATCAAATTGCTTGGATTTACCTTCTAATTTTCATAGTACATACTTTTTCCGTGTACTAAGTAACTACGCATGAATGACCACAAGGGTAAGATTTCATTATATGGTATCAAGATATTAAAACAAAAAATGCCACTGGCCATTTTAAAATAAAATGCTGTGTTCCAAATTAAATTAGATAGTTTGTAATTAGTTTTCACATTGATTTTTAAATATCCTGCTATTAAAATCTTTGGATCTAAAAAATGTTTTTGACAATTGCAAGTTTCGTTCATTTAAATAAAGAGTAACAAATATGGTTCTTTATACCTTAATTAGAGTACAACCCTATCTTAAAATTGTAATAATTTATCATCCATGCAATTACTTTGTACAAAAAAAAGTGTGTTCTATGAAACATTATGAAGGGAAATTAAGGCAACTTGGTGATGATTTTTTTTAACTTTCTTAGGGAAATTGATCTATTTCGTCATGAATTGATTGATTGATTATTGGTTGCTTAATGTCCAGTGGCAAATATTTCATTCATGTCATGAATTGAGAAACTGTTATAATGTCTGAAGAGGATGTGCCACCTATATATATATACATATATACATATTCTAATAAATCTTTTAGTTTTTACTTTGAAAAAAAAAAAAACAAAACAAAACAAAACCTATAATCTCTGATCTATTGGTAGTTGCTTTCTAATGCTATCCACTAGACCATCTATGGCGACAAACTATGTATATGTTTCAAATTTATTATAGTTTAAGTTTTACTGTCAAATTCAAAATTTTTTTCAAAACATGTAAGGCTTCCACTGCAATTTAATTATTGCCTGCTTTTGTTCAATTCATTTTGTCATCTTACCATGTAAAGAAGTACATGTATAGTAAAACACCGCTTTATATCAATATACATGAGTTAAGCCTCTTTCAACTGATTTTGATAGTTCGTTCTTATGTTGTACTGTTACACCACTGTCCCAGGTTAGGGGGAGGGTTGGGATCCCGCTAACATGTTTAACCCCGCCACATTCTGTATGTATGTGCCTGTCCCAAGTCAGGGGCCTGTAATTCAGTGGTTGTCGTTTGTTTATGTGTTACATATTTGTTTTTCGTTCATTTTTTGTACATAAATTAGACCGTTAATTTTCTCGTTTGAATTGTTTTACATTGTCATTTCGGGGCCTTTTATAGCTGACTGTGCGGTATGGGCTTTGCTCATTGTTGAAGGCCGTACGGTGACCTAAAGTGGTTAATTTCTGTGTCATTTGGTCTCTTTTGGAGAATTGTCTCATTGGCAATCATACCACATCTTCTTTTTTATATTTACACCAGCATGCAGCTACCATCTTTTCATTCTGGAGTCAAGGGCCTTTTGAAATCACATATCTTACAATGATACTAGTGAGTAGATTCACAAAACATAGAGTTCGTTAATGAGCTCCGTTTTACAAACACCTGTGATACAAGTAGTCAGCCAAAATAAACTATCAATAGACCAATTAAAAAGATTGCTCGAGTTGTGAATATGTGCTAAATTGGATAGTCTATGAAAAGGTATATACTATGATATTAAGAGCTCGGGGCAAGCCCTTCGCTTTTCATAGACTAACCTAGACCTAATTTTCGTCTATTATTGGTATTTTTGACCTTGACTCTTGAGTGGTGACTTTAAAATCCATACAGAATTTTCATTCATTATATATGAACATGTGTAAGTTGCAATCTACATTTGGAAGAAATCATGTTATAATTGGCCAAGGGAATTACTCTTTGTGTCGTAAATATGATCTGCAGAGCACATATTGTAAATATTGTCTAACTTGTCAGTTGAGAGTCAGTTTAAATTCAATTCAACGGAAGAATTGTTTGCTCTTTTGTCCCTTTCATAACGATGCTGTCAACTTCGAATAAAGAATGTCCACTACATCATTAAGGTATTGTTCATTTATTCGTGGTACGCAATAAAAATCACAGAAATGTTAAAAGTGAAAAAGTACCTCTATTTTCAGTTGGTACTTCTTGAAAACATTAATTAGAATAACGACAAAATCGACAATGGACACAAAAGTATGCTTGATAAATATAATTAACACAAAATAAAGGAGATAAAGTTATGTTATTGTGTTTTAGTCAAAAGGCCCCACTTATTAGTAACAGACACGAAGCTAAAAGCAGAATTCCAATTGTTACGTAGCTTACATTTCATTATTCCTGTTTATATAATTTTACATTATTCAATTTTTTATTCGTGTAAAGGATGAATCATATATTTGTATGAATAAAATTGAATTCAGTTGATGGTAGTCCATTTCAAATTTCTATCTGGAATACTTGCGAATTTTGAAAACTACCCATGTGACCAAAAAGGAAATTAAAATTATAACAAAATCCATCAAATATCAACTGAGGTAGTTGAAACCTAAGATTTTACTGATTTATTGATTTATTAATGGACAATTTAAGAAATGTTTGTTATAAATCAAGATCATCAGGAAAGAATTCATTGGAAAATATGACAACATTACCTGGTATATTATTGTTAGTCTAGCCATACATGAAACCACATCAAAAGTTTAAACTCATGTTTGGGGATATAAATGTTATCATCGTTGAACTAAAAAAGTCATCAACAAATCAAATATAAAATTGTAGACAAATTTCATAAATTGCAACATCATACTAGAGTGGTTATCGTTTGAAAATAGAAAGATGTTATATAAATAAAAAGCAAGTGAGTGACAAGCGAAATAGAGAAGGTAGATGCAAAAGAATTCAAATCAACCCAGCATATTATTAACTATGTATTCTGAAGGAGGTTGAAAACCGGGTCTTTTTTTTTCCGGTTTATGCCAAATTGATAAGTCGTTACGTAATCATCTTGGAAAAAATATTTATACTATACATTTAGATGTCATGATTACTGAAATAACTTTTGTCAATTTATATAGAAAAATGGCATTTTTGTTTTGATACTGACTTTATCAGCAAGAATATCAATCGAGCTGATATACGAGCTGATGAAGTCAGTATCAAAAAATAAAATGTCATTATTCTTTTTATCGGCAATTTGTCCTTATTGCATTTTTTTTTTTTTTGGTTGAGAATATGAAGTAAAATAAAGTACCGTTGGGATAGTTGTTCGGTTGAATGAATGAAGTCGCGTGCATTTAATTATTAGATTGACGCGGATGGACTTAACCCTCTGAGTCCCAGGCGGACATATAGAATCGTTTTCATAAAAGCGTAGACAACCGTAAAACTTTTGTTGGTAATAATACTGAATAATTTACCTTTAACTTGTTTGTCATCGGCTATCGATAACAATGATTTTATGATCACTCAGTCTATCAGAGGCCTTCCAGTGGGGATTTAAATAATGATAACTTGTTACACATGGTGTCTTCTGGCTATTCCTACATTTTGTATTTTACTATTCTGGCTATTCCTACATGGGAGATTAGTGGAAGAACAATAGATGTTGTTATTGCAAGATATGTTGTTTTAGTCATTAGTGTCTAATTGGGTCAAACATAATCTCATTGTTTACATAAATATTCTGGGAACTTCTACATGAAATTTTACTATTTTACCTATAAAATTCAAAATGTAGGAATAGCCGGAATGAACCAATTTTGTGTAGGAGTTCCCAGAATTTTCATGTAAACAATGGGATTATGTAGGATTATGTTGTAACAACACTAAACTAATGGATCAAGGTAAATCCAGGTAAATCTTGTGAAAAATAAAGAAAAAAAATAGTTTATATTACAATATTTTATTTAATAATTTCATAGCACATTTTGTGTAAATAATATTCAAAAGCACAATATGAATTTAAAGGCATAATAGAAATATAAATATGTTAAATTTTAATAGATTTTTTTTAATCAAAGCACTAAATTTTGAGTTACACTAAACAAAGCACCGAAAAGTACACTAAATTGACATTAAACATAGCACTCACACAGTAATACATTGCACTTAAATGCACATACAAGAGAATACAAAGTCTTAATCAATGTGCAGGAGATGAGAAGCAACATCTCCATACTCGACTGGAGTAAGCTCATCATTCTGTAACCTTGTTTGCAGTCTGTCATCTATTTCCCTGTATTTTCTCTTTCTTGGAACACGTTTCCCGGCTCTGTATAGGATAAGTGTGAGAGCATGAAAGGCTTCTTCTTGTCTCAACAACTTGATCATGCTGAAGGTGTTTGGGTGAGGTGCCTTGACTAACTTCTTCAGTTTACTATGCCAACCTTCTAAATGATTTGTTGTTCTAGGACCGTCTGTTGCGTAGTGGTTTCATAGGCTTTGGTTGTTTTCTACCCAGTAGCTGGTTACATAGTCTGTAAAGTTAAGGGTTGGTGTGTTAGTATTTGCATCATCGATGTCCTCCAGTGCGTTAAACCAAACATCTTCAACTGTATTGGGTGGTAAAAGAGGCAGAACTGCAGCTCTCCGAACAAGTTGGTGAATGTCGCCTTTTTCACTGTATTCAGTCTGCAAACCATGCTTCTGTGCATTTCGCCAGATTCACTGAGTGTAGTGGAAAAAGCACCCTTTAATGTTGATTCCTGGGAAGATTGAAGTGGCTGCGTTTCTGATGGCTATTTCGTAGTCGAGGAACATCGTGGCTGATTCTAGTATGTTGAATTAGTT